TGTAATTCAAGATTATTTTATTTAAATCAACACTGCACTGCGCTATATATTATCAATATATTAACTAAATTTCAGAATGACCAATAATTTTAATGTAAAAATGCAAAAATATTCAAGACAGCAACAAAATCGATGTTCACTCCATTGTAAACAAAGTCAAACTGACGCCTGGTGGGCGAGTCAAGCGGCTGATGGGTGCACAAAAAACTAGTTCCCTGTACTGCATATATTTTCAATATGTTAACTAAATTTTAATATGACTAATAATTTTAATATAAAATATGCAAAAATATTAAAGAGCACAACTTTCTTGATATTTACTTCACTGGAAACGAATGTAAACATAGAACAGATTACTGAATTGGCAGACTAGCCCATCAGCTGATGCTCACAACAAAAGGTGTTTGTCGTAAGGATTTCGTTAATTGAAGTTTTGTTCGTTAACCGAATTGAAGATCCTTATGGAAGTTAATTCGTTAACCATAATTTTTTTAATCGAACCGTTCGTTAACTGAGGGACCACTGTAAATATTTATGTATTAATGTCAGTATATTTAGCATCAATTATCCTTTGCAGGAAACCTTCCCTTTTTTATAGACCAGGGTTACACAGCTACTATTTGTGAAGGTACAGCCTCACAAATTTCCGAGGTGTCAATGGTCTAGAGGAAAGGTTTCATTTAAAATAACATATATTAAATAAAGATTAAAAGAGAGAATTTAAAAAAAAGCCGTTTTTTTCTAAAAACCAGTTTTTGTGATATAGCTCGAATGCGACTCTCAGCAAAAACTGGTTTTTAGAAAAAAACGTTTTTTTGTTCAAGCTCTGAATGCGACGTTAGCAAGAATACCCGAGCAGGAGGTGGAGAGGGAGGTGACTGCATACAAGGCTCCGCTAACTGAGGTCCCGATTATATTATAAACCGTTTTGAACATTTCCAAAATTAGGAACATTTACCAGAAGGTAAAATGTTAATTTACTCAAAAAGGATACTCACTTTATTCTAATGAGGAAGAAGGTCCTGGTAGTGGAGATTGACTAGATGGGGGAGGGGAACCCAGCACCACCACATTTGAAGCATCTCTCAGAGATAGATGAAGATAGCTGTCTTTGAAAGTTTTTGAAGATCTCCAAAAGCCCATTTCCTTGATCTGACTGAGACTCATATGCCGCAGAAAGGCCACAGACCCTGCATATTTCCTAGTGTCATGTGCCAAAAGTTACTTGCCAGGGTCTGCTTGATTCACTAATTGAGATAAGGATTTTGTCAATTGACTAGGAGATAATTTCACTCATCTGAACTAGGAGGATACCATGAGTCACATTATATCATTATATCACAAATTAATAATAATACAGTGAACCCTCACTTTACGCGGTCAATTGAACCCACGGAGGCCCGCGTAAAGTGAACAACATAACATATGGGATTAAATGAAATAGAGACTGGCTGACCCCCAAACTCCACTTTTTCCGACACAATACCTATGTTCTAGTAAAAATAACATCTTAATTTTATGATGGTACATGCACACAATTAATACTGAAGAGAAATAGAGAAATACAGTTGCCAAGTTAATGTCCATTCAAATAATAGACTCAACTCCCTCCCCCTCTTCTCACACTCCTGGCTCTTCCCTCTCTGAAAAATGTTTGGGGGAAAACCACTAGATTTTAAGGTATAGTAATAAATAATACCTCAAACTAAAGTTAGGATAATATAATTGACATTGCTGGATTCCTTGTAAGACCAGGAATATTTTGAATATATTTTGCACAAAAGATAACATACTTACTCAGAGTAAACAAAATACTTAAAGTAGATCTAAAATTTGTATGTCTAATGCAAAATCTATGATGTTTATATTCAAATTGATCATCAAATTGTAAGAATTCCAGCAATGTAAATTATATTCTGGCCGGGTAATTTGCATGAATTTTATGAGCTAAAACAAATATCTTCAGTAAATAAAAAAAAAAAATATTCTTCACGAGACTATCTGTCAATCAAAGTACCCCACCTTGCCTCCCCCCCTCTTCCAACCTCGCCAGATGGTAGGTCGGTCCCTCCCTACCAGAGAAATGTGTGGGAGAAACCAGAATATTTACCTTTTTAGTAATAAATAATGCCTCAGACTAAAGTTAGGATTATATAATTGACATTGCTGGATTCCTTGTAAGACCAGGAATATTTTGAATATAAATGTCATATATTTTGCACAAAAGATAACATATTTACTCAGAGTAAACAAAATTCTTAAAGTAGATCTAAAATTTGTATGTCTAATGCAAAATCTATGATGTTTATATTCAAAATGATCATCAAATTGTAAGAATTCCAGCAATGTAAATTATATTCTGGCCCGGTAATTTGTATGAATTTTATGAGCTAAAACAAATATCTTCAATAAATAAACAAAATATACTTACCGAAATACTATCTGTCAATCAAAATACCCCACCTCCCCCCCTCTTCCCACCTGCTCCCTGGGTCCCTCCCTCCCTCCCTCCCTCCCTACCTACCCCTCACCCCCATCTTCCCTCCCTACCAGAGAAATGATTGGGTTATAACAGTATATTTACATTTTTAGTAATAAATAATACCTCAGACTAAAGTTAGGATAATATAATTGACATTGCTGGATTCCTTGCAAGACCAGGAATATTTTGAATATACACTTCATATATTTTGCACAAAAGATAACATATTTGCTCTGAGTAAACAAAATACTTGCATTAGATCTAAAATTTGTATGTCTAATGCAAAATCTATGATGGTTATATTCAAAATGATCATCAAATTGTAAGAATTCCAGCAATGTAAATTATATTCTGGCCGGATAATTTGTATGAATTTTATGAGCTAAATAAAAAAATTATACTTCACCCGTGTATATGAGTAGATGCACTGCGTAAAGTGGGAATTCCGGTTCTGGCAGGGTACCGCGTAAATGTAGAAACGAGTAAAGTGAAACCGCGTTAAGCGAGGGTTCACTGTAATTAATAAGGGAGAAAGCATTTTCTCCCAAATTAATCAATATGACTCATAAATGTTATATTATTCATAAGTTAATGCATTAAGATCTCTTATTGTTATACAAGTCACTCATATGGCAAATATAAACAATAACTCACTATGTCGTATCTGTCTCCTGACTATTATATCAAGTATCCCTTAGCTCAATGAAACTTATTTATTTAAATTTGTTTTTATAAAATAATTTCATTCAGAACATTTATTAAGAGGGATCATCAAGATCTTTATTTGTTGCCAATCAGGGACACAGACATTATCCCCCAAGTAAACACTTTAAGGGAAAATTCCTACGTGCGCACTATCACCCGGTTAACGAATTCCTTACGAATTTTTCGCAACATGTTTTCGCTTGCATTTGGCTGCCCACCAGCTGTAGTATTAGTCCGCCAATACAGTAATCGGTTTTAGGGCTTAAATTCCTTACCATTTTAGTAAATATCAAGAAGGTTGTACTATTCAATAATTTTAAAGGTTTTATATTAATTTTTTTAGTCATTTTAACAATTATTTAACATAATTAAAGTACAGGAAGCTATTTTTTTGCGTGCCAAACAGCCACTCAACACATCAAGCTTGGCGTCAGTTTGTTTACCAGTTCAGAGGAAGGAACATCTTGTTTGAGACTCTTCAACATAAATGCTTTTTTCTGTGTTTCCAGTCAATTTATTGGTCATTTTTAAATATATTTTACATATTGATAATATATAGCACAGTGCAGTGTTGATTTAAAGAAAATAATCTTGAATTACACCAAGTGAACTAAAATTTTATAGGTGAAATGACGGCATGGGGTGACTTCTCTTCCACCCCAATGCCATTTCTTCTCCCTTCTCCTCCCCCATTCTAATTCCCATCATCATCATCAACCAGGAGCCATCTACATGCACACCTCAAAGTAAGTGTACTTTACTGCATTTGTTTTTAGTTTGTATTTAATTTTCGGTGAGCTGAAACCAATTACCCAAAAAACCATTGAAACAATGGTTTCGGTTAACGAGCAACCTTCTGGAACGAATTGTGCTCGTTAACCGAGGGACCACTGTAATGCTAAAATTATGTGTAAGCAATAGAGCAACTAGTATTAAAGTTTTTCATACATGTTTAATACACTTCAACATGTGCATCATTGGTTGTCCATACAACAACCTATTGACATACAACTTCTTGCCATGTGCATTCAGGCATGCTAGCATTGACCATCACTATTTCATCTTTGATCCTGATTCATAGTTCTTGAATGTTGGCAACCTTGGTATTGTACACAACACAACATCTCTAACAAAACCCCAGAGGAAGAAATCCAATGGCGTAATATCTGATGATCTTGGGGCCAACGGAGAGGTGCATCACGACCAATCCAACGATATCGGTAAAATTTGTTGTTAATCAATCATTCGGTAATCAAGCAAACTGATAGTTGCTCTATTGTTTACACATGGTTCTAGTTTTATATCTTAATTAGTCTGGAAATATTAAGGAATCAAATCATTCAGATCTTTTATGAATACTCTGTATTAGGCTGCACAGTACAGTTAGGTATCTCAAGATAAACAAACACTGTCTACCAATACAGCATGTTGTATGTAGATTTATATTTGATTATCATATCTGGTGGGTTTGCATTGAAATTAGTGATTTATGAAATATATTAATAGTTTTTCATAAAATGTACTTCCAGGAAATTTTAGTGAGTTTAGCAGTTTAACAATTATGTAACCTCAGTGTGTTGCTGCACATTGTCCTGTAAACATTTTCAGCTGTCATGCTGAGTCTAGCAAACTCCAAGAAGCACCAACTAACCACATCGTCAGTAATAGACAATAATCTCAAAAATTTAATCCTACTGGCTAAGACTGTTAATTATACAGTACTGGACAAAAGGTTTCCTATATTGCGAATCTTCAGTATTGACAAATCTATTAATGAGAGGATTTATTGTATCATGCCTTTTTTTCTCATCAGGAATGTGAATACCAAGCACGATTATCTGGTGACCTTGCAGCGAATCAGAGTGTTTTTATTGGCATTGATTTCTTTGTTGAGATAGCTCCTTCTAGGTAAGTTATAAATTGGTTTCTGCTGTTTGCATGCATCTGAGATAAAATTTGAAATGGAAAATCCAATTATTTAATTACTCCTATTATAGATAACATAAAACTGGTGAGAAAAAAATTAAAGGGAAGATGTTTAACTAATGTACAGTATGGTGTTTTAGTGTCGTGTTAATGAGAGGTAATGGAGAAGCAAGTTGGGCATATGGGTTCAAAGAATCATGGGATGAAGGTCTGAATTCAATAAAAAAAATAATTGATATAAATTATTGTTAGCCAAGCGAGGGATGACTTAATAAAATTCTATAAGCAATTTGGAGGACATAACTGTTCATACCTGGAATTAGCAGGTGCTCACCCCGCTCAACGTCACAGCTTCTGGTTGAAAAAGCTACAAGCTTAGAAAATTATCAGGGCAATTTTAGGGGAGTGAAAGTTCTGATCTCTTGAGTTATCTGCCAGAGGAAGTTGACCATTACTGGCACAGGTACAGATACATTCTGGAGCTATTGCATACTCAGTGCTTGTCAACGGTGTGTAACAGAGACATGATCGACCGTCCAAGCGGCTAACAAGTCGATCATTAGTGAAGAGGATAAAGTAAAGTACAATACAGTATTAGAATAAGGTAGGAAGGATGCTGTACGATGAACATGGAAGGAGGGAGACTGGATGTTAGAGCCACATCAATAATTGTCTCATAGCTTTAAAGATTAGCAAATTTCTTAGAAACATTTTATCAATTATAATGCACAGTGCTTGTTCAGTATGCTTATTGTTATATGAAATATGTATACCCTGTACAGTACAATATAACAAATTTAAATTAGCAGTTGTAAGATTCAGACAATAAAGTATGTGTCCCAGTTACCACTTTTTATATGATTATGATATTTAATTTTAATATAATACTGAAAGATTAAAATTTATATGAACATTTTCTTTAGTTGGTTTGCAGTGACTCGACTAGATGTTCACAATGTAAAGCAAGGTGTATCTTTGAATGTCTTTGCTCCAATGGTTCCAGTCCCAAGCAGTGACATTATTGGACCCTCTCAGTTTAATGATCAAGTTCTTATACTGGTAAGTAAAATTATGGATATAATTTATAATTTCATACAATTACACATTTTAACCATGTTATTGTTAATGTTATTACCAATTTTAAGAATCCCATTCAGTAAAGAATAACTCAAGTGAACTGTAATAAACATATACAGTATAGTCTGGGTTTACGCTGTTAATTAAACCCATGGAGGTCCGCGTATAAAGCGAAACGCGTAAATAAAATAACAGAACATATGGGATTAATTGAAATAGAGACTGGGCCGACCGCCAGACTACCCTTTTTTTGGCTATCGCCGACACAATACGTACATTGTAGTAAAAATAACATCTTAATTTTATGATGGTATGCACACACATTAATATTTAAGAGAAATATCAATAATATTAGGTTTTTTAACACTTACGTTAGTAGAAGAGATGGCTGGGCACACGGGGATGGGGGGGTTGGTTCCAAGGCAGAGGGCAGATTATTGGCCCTCACTTGTATCACCTGCATCTCTATCCACCACAGAGGCTAGCAGGGCCTCCTCGTCAAACCCCTCAAATTTCATATCCTCACTAGCACTGACTTGGGCTGGCTGTGGTGGTTGGCGGGTGAAGAACTCGGTGATGCTTTGTTGACGGCTAGCATTGATGTGGTTATGATACTGCTGAACATAGGGCTCCAGTCATTTCAACAGATGGTTTTTCGACACTTCGTAGCGACGATTACTTGTCTCTTTGGCAAGGATGAACTTCAATCTCTCAGCTAACTCGATGACCTCCTTCACATCAGCATGTGTTAGTTTCTGCTCTTGTTGTTCTGTAACACCTGGCTGCTCACTGATGTCATCATCTTCCAACATCTCGTCCGCAGTCACCTCAGGTTGCCCGATTACCTCCAGGATGTCCTCGTTGGTGGTCTCGGAGAAGCCTGCAGCTCTAACACTTTGTGCAGCCTCTCTTGCATTCTCCAATGCCACAGCAACAGACTGAGCCTCCCCAGCCACCGCTTGCCTCTGCCTCCCACCTTGGGCCAGGTAGTTCAGGGCTTTTCAGGGGTGGTGGGGGTCCAGTGGAAGCCATTGTGGAGAAATATAAAAAAAAAAAAGGTTCGTGGGCACGAGTGAGTATACACGGGGACAGTGAGACTGGTGCGGCCAAGGTCATCAGCTCTGGTGGCAGGGCAAGCAAGGTTAAATAGACCAATCACAGCACATGACGGAGGGGGTGCATGGGTGGCAGTGCCGGATTTAGACCTGTGGAGGCCCATGGGCAGCCTCTTTGTGGAGGCCCCCTCATTATAACTACCCAAGAGGGTGGGGTGGCGAGTGAAGCGAGCCTAAACATATGGGAGTTCCGGGGGGCGCTGTAAGGCCCCCGGGAAAATTTTGAAATTCGAACACTTCTTTGGAGAGTTTTGAAGCCACATGCAGTTATATTGAGGTAATTTGAACATTGGGGCCTGGGGGCTAAAATATAATAATAATAATAATAATAATAATTATAATAATAATAATTCATAGGTCTAGGTCGTGTTTCTCACTTTTGATCTTTTTTTCATTCTTGTACAGTGACCCCTCCGTTAACGAACTCAATCCGTTCCAGAAGGTCGTTCGTTAACCGAAAAGTTCGTTAACCGAAACCATTGTTTCAATGGGTTTTTGGGTAATTGGTTCCAGCTCACCGAAAATTTCCTAAATTCAACAAAAATGGTAGAAAAGTTCACTTACTTTGAGGTGTGTATGTAGAAGGCTCCTGGATGATGATGATGATGATGGGATTTAGAATGGGGGTGGAGGAGAAGGAAGAAGAGAAGGCATTGGGGTGGAAGAGAAGTCACCCCATGGCACCATTTCACCCATAAAATTTTAGCTCTCTGGTGTAATTCAAGATTATTTTCTTTAAATCAACACTGCACTGCATTATATATTGTCAATATGTAAAATATATTTCAAAATGACCAATAATTTGCTTGGAAACACAGAAAAAAAGCGTTTAGTTGAAGAGAGTCTCAAGCAAGATGTTACCTCCAGTGAAAACAGAGAGAGACTAACTCCTGTTTGCTGTGTTAAGAGGCTGGATGCCGCGCATTAAACTAGTCACTTTACCTTCAATTATGTTCAATAATTGTTAAAATGACTAAAAAATTGAATATTCAACTTTTAAAATTATTGAATAGTATAAACTTCTTGATATTTACTAAAATAGTAAGGAATTTAAGCCCTAGAACCGATTAATGTATTGGCGGACTGATACTAAAGCTGGTTGCCCGGTCAGTGCAAGCGAAAACATGTTGAGGTCGGTTCGTAAGAACTTCGTTAACCGAATTTTTTTTCGTTAACCGAATTGAAGATCCTTATGGAAGGCAGTTCGTTAATCGAAATTACGTTAACCGAGGTGTTCGTTAAACGAGGGGTCACTGTATTTCTTTATTATTATTATTATTTTATTATTACAGTATTATTGTTGTTATTATTATTATTATTATTGTTGTTATCATACTTATTTTATTTTTGTGTATTTTTTATTAAAATTTTTATTTACTATGAATAATTATTATTATTACTGTAATATCATTATTATTATTATTATTATTATAATTATTATTACTATTACATTTTCACCCCCCAGGCCCCGATGTGGGTCAGTGACCTGTGCCCTGGTGGGCTAAAAAAAAAAAAAAAAAAAAAAAAAAAAAAAATTGCTCCACAAAAAAAAAAACTTTCGGTTTTCAGAGCTTTTCGGTTTTCGGAATTTCGGATAAAGGGTTGTCAACCTATATTCATGAATTTCAAGGAGTAGCTAGTCTAATTTCTATCACGCTTCTTGCTGAACATAGTTTTACGTGATGGAATAAATAAACATGAATTTTAAAGAATGAAAATAAAAATAATCCAAATGAATAAACAAATAAATAAAATATTGTAATATGTGGAGGCCCCTGGGCAGCTGCCCACTTTGCCCACTCCTGAATCCGGCCCTGGTGGGTAGTAAGGATACGTGGCCCAATCACAGTCCGCGACGTCTGGGCTCAGTACCTTGCCCGCCGCTTGCCACATATATGATGGCATTTACCGCGTAAATAATAATTGCCGCATCTGGAGAGGTGCCGCGTAAATGGCAAATCGTGTATAAAATATCCGCGTAAACCCAGACCACAATGTAGTTCATAATTATAAGAATAATTGTAGAGTCATTGTTTATTTTAAATATGTGTATAGGTATCTTCCATGCTATGTAGAACTGAGTAAACATATTCAACACATTAACCGCAATAGATTTACATAGGGTATAGCAGAAGTATATTCATCATATTATATTTTAGGTGTTCCACTGATGATCAGCAAGAATGAAAGTTGAGATGGTTCTGGTCAGAGAAGGTTGTGCTGATAGTGTGTTGGCTGAGTGGTGACTATCCATTTTCACCGAGCAACCAGTTTGTGACCACCAAAACAAAACCACATCGGTGTATATCAAAAACCAATGCAACTAAAGAATTCTTTTACCGTAAATAACCAATTCCGTAATTATTTGTACAATAACAAATTAGAAACAAATATAATGGTAGAAGAACCAACACCAATACATTACACTCAGTGAACCCTCAAAGACTCGGACCCGGTAAATCCGGATGATTCAAACAAAATTTGGTGGTTCCGAGGGCTAAGAAGCCTCCCTAAGAAGCAGTCCCAAAACAGAACAAAGATCATCTTAGTCCCGTGTAACTAAGATGTCAGCGCGTCGGACACAGGTGCCCGAGCAATAAACCAGAGATATCCATTAGTGATGACCTTGAGTTACCCACCATAGAAAAACCAGGTAATATAGTGAAGCAACACCAAGACCAACTCACAATAGTATATATAATAGACACAGAGAAATAGCGAATGAAAGTAAATTCATGACCTGGTAACTGGTGCATTACAGTCACCGCCGTGTCACCAGGACATCTAGTTGCAAATTTTTAGTATACAGTAGTACCCCAATTTACGCGGTCAATTGAACCCACAGGGTACCGCGTAAAGTGAACAACAGAACATATGGGATTAATTCCAATAGAGACTGGCCCGACCCCCAAACTCCACTTTTTCCGACACAATACCTATGTTGTAATAAAATTAACATCTACATTTTATGATGGTATGCTCACACAATTAATATTTAAGAGAAATACAGTCCCAGGTTAATGTCCATTCAAATAATGGACTCAAATCCCCCCCCCCCCTCTTCCCAGCTCACTAGCTCCTACCTCTCTGAGAAATGATTGGGTGAAAACACTAGATTTTAACGTTTAGTAATAAATAATACCTCAGACTAAAGTTAGGATAATATAATTGACATTTCTGGATTCCTTGCAGGTCAGGGAATATTTTGAATGTAAACTTCATATATTTTGCACAAAAGATAAAATATTTGCTTTGTGTAAACCAAATTATTACATTAGATCTAAAATTTGTATGTCTAATGCAAAATCCATGATGTTTATATTCAAAATGATCATCATATTGTAAGAATTCCAGCAATGTAAATTATATTCTGGTCGAGTAATTTGTATGAATTTTATGAGCTAAAACAAATATCTTCAGTAAATAAAAAATAAAATATTCTTCACGACACTCTGTCAATCAAAGTACCCCACCTTGCCTCCCCCCCCTCATGCCAGCTGGGTCGGTCGGTCCCAACCCTCCCACCTTCCCTCCCTACCAGAGAAATGTGTGGGTGAAAATACTAGATTTTAACATTTAGTAATAAATAATACCTCAGTCTAAAGTTAGGATAATATAATTGACATTTCTGGATTCTTTGCAGGTCAGGGAATATTTTGAATGTAAACTTCATATATTTTGCACAAAAGATAAAATATTTGCTTTGTGTAAACCAAATTAATACATTAGATCTAAAATTTGTATGTCTAATGCAAAATCCATGATGTTTATATTCAAAATGATCATCATATTGTAAGAATTCCAGCAATGTAAATTATATTCTGGCCGGGTAATTTGTATGAATTTTATGAGCTAAATAAAAAAAAAAAAATTATACTTCACTGCGTATATGAGTAGATGCACTGCGGAAACTGAAAGTCCGGTTCTGGCAAGGTACCGCGTAAATGAGAAATCGCGGAAAGTGAAACCGTGTAAAGGGTAAAGCGGGGTAATACTGTACTGTACAGTAATCCCGTGTTTTTCACGGGAATTACGTTCCTGAAACCCCCGCGAAAAGCCAAAACCGCAAATACTCTTAGGAATCACTGTGCCTGTGGCCACCAAACAGCTCAGGTAGGTCATGCACTTAACCACTCAATGCTCTCCACTCATGACCCAGTGGTCACACTGATCACTGATGCACTGTACTGGCATTTACTAACATCATTATTTGAAACTAATCATATTGTAGTATAATAATGGAAAAATGTAAACACAGTTATATACAAAGAAAATTTATTTAAAAGTAAATAAAAAAATATATATTTCGCTGAGGTCGGCAACACTCGCATTGCCAGCCTCTCCCTGCTGTCCCGGCGTCTGCGCGCCCTCACCGTCAGGCTCTATGTCTAAAGTTGTATATGATATTAAAAGGAATGTGATAACTGCCAATGAGAACAACTTTCGTGTCGAATTTGTGTGGATTCCGTCCCATGTTGGAATCAGGTATCATGACCGTGCTGATAGACTGGCCAATGAGGCATTTGTAAGAAAGAAAATATTGACCGTGACCTTGGCCTGTCCAATGCTGTAATTAAAAACATTCAAGTCAGAATCATGAACTCTGATCTAGAAGAAATGAGAAATGCAGAGAGACCTGACAGTTGTAGCATTAGTAAATATGACAAATTTTGTGACAAGAGGTACCGGTATGGCCAGCATAAGGACAGAACCAGACAATGTGATGTAGTCATGGCCAGAATTAGGCTAGGATACAGACACATCTGGCAAGTTAGTAACGCTGTACCCATACCGGAACACTCAGCATGTAAACTTTGTGATAAACCTTTAAAGCTTACACTTGAACACTATATTATTGAATGTGACACTGTCAAAGACTTCAGGCCACCTGACTAATTGTATCTTGAACTATGTAATTACTTCATTGAAACAGGTGTGCTTGAGGACATTCTTGCTGTTTATCCCAAATTTGCTAACCCACACTGATTAGTCTTCAATTAGAATATGACTCCAATGTATGTGATCCACTGACCTATATATACTGTGAATGAATATGATGTATTTCCTTCTTTGTGTACGAACCTCTGTCCTGCATGGCAGTGAACAGTGGCATTACCCACATGAATCTGACCTATATACTGTATAGCGTCAATGAATATGATGCAGTCTTTGTGTACGAACCTCTGTCCTGTTTGGCAGTGAAGAGTGACATTACCCGCATGAATCTGACCGACGTATATGTATGTAATTGTGTATATGTGTATGCATGTGTGTATGTGTGCATATGTGTATATATATGTACATGTATATGTGTATGTGTATGTATATGTGTATGTGTGTGTGCACATATATGTATATGTACTGTCAATGAATATGATGCATCTCTTTGTGTACAAACCTCTGTCCTGCATGGCAGTGACATTACCCATATGAATCTGTTAATGAATATGATGTATTTCTTTGTGTATGAACCTGTCCTGCGTGGCAGTGAGAAGTAACACTGTGGGGTACGGGTTGTTTGGTTCACACTCAGGATGGGATGGAGAAAGGAAACTCACAATGTGCTCTCTGTATACATATTGTATTGGATGTACAGTGCAGCTTGGTGCTGGGAAGTGGCAGCGTGGTTACAAGCGTGATGTAGAGAGAGCTGGTTGGTGAGGATGCTCAGAGGAGGACCAGCTTGTGGCTCGCCGGCGGGAGCGAGGGCCGCCAGGCAGGAGTAGGAGGTGTTGCTTGCTGGTTGGTGTAGGTAGAAAGAGATAGGTCACCACGAGGTCAGGTCTTATATAGCGGAGGTAGGCGTGGCTTAATAGTTGACCTCCGTCATGTATGGCGGCACTGGTTGACCTAGACCACGAGGCATACACTGGTGAATTCGCAGGGTCGGCTACTCAGCGACACGCGTTTGTAGGGGAGGAATCTACTACAATACCACCCTCAGTGTCAAGATCTGACTGAATTACTCAGAATAGGCAAACTGTACTACAAGCTCTGCCAATAAATTTGTTAAACTAAAAAAAGCCCTCACGCAGTCACGCCAGCCAGCCAGTCCTCTTCCACCCACATTCCTCCACTTGACGACTTGTATTCTGACAAAAGAACAAATGAATTATCAGTTTTCACCACATCTCGAGCTCATACCACCTCTGAGCTTGTCCAATAAAACTGTTTTTTCTGTTAAGGTCATCACTATTACTGATCTCTTGGTCACTTTAGAGTCTTTGTTAGTAATATTTGCCTTTGATGAGGCTGGCTTATGTCCCGGAGCCATGTGGAATGCATGTGGGAGGACAAACAGAAGAGGTAATCACAGTAGCGTTCACAGTACGGTAAGCACGTGTGGACTGAGGTTTCTCGGAGCAGCTGGTGTCTGAAGCGGAAAAGGTGGCATCTGTTTGCCGCACCACATGGGAATATTGAAAATGGCGCAAAATTTAAATTTTTGTTTTTAAAGGATATTTTATATATACAGTACAGGGTATATAATTTTTTAGTAAAAAAAAAATGCAATAAAAAAAAAAAACGCCCAAAACACGAGATTACTGTATTACAATATCGCTCACAGTGATAGTTGTATCATGGAACATTAGCAGTAAGTGAACAATGTATATCTCTTAATGTGATTGAAAGCAAGTGAAGTAACATAGTAGGTAAGTGAGAGTTTTTGTGATAATAATTTATTAATTTATATTATATTTTTTGTCTCCTAGGTAACAGATTCATGGTGGGATACTGTCCAGGGTGCAGACAACTCTATTGGTAATGCCCTCACAGCCTCCATGTTATCGTTGCAAGAGTCCTACCTTAACCTCATAAATGGAGAATTATTTTACTGAGGTTTTTAAAAATGCAAGCACAGCAAGCCCACCCAGTTTTTATTTTTTTTTTTTTGTGTGTGTTTGGGGGGGGGGGAGTTGTAAGCCCTCCCAAGAAAATTTAATTTTGTGAAATCTGACCAATATCATGAGCATTTTGAAGCCATGTGCACTTGATATTAGGAGATATTCTGAGGTCAGTAGTACAGTAATTACTTTTTATAATACAAAAATGCCTGTGTACAATACTGCATTAAAGAAAAAGTCTGGAATTTTTGTATGAAAGGGGAGGTCTGGTAGTGTGTGTGACCCCCTTTTCAAGTGCATAACCTGGAGGTAATGATTTTTTCTATATAAACTGGTGTTCCAGAACCCAGTCTAACTCCTTTTACTTCCACATAATTTTTTAAGAGAATGAAAGTTATGCAGTACTGTCCTCTTGTTTAAGAAGGCTTTGTCCTTGTAAAATAGAATCTCAGAGATATTTTATTTAAAAAAATAATAATAATTGCTCATCAACTGGGTATAGATTCGTATTTCCAAAATGTAGCTTGACCTGTGTGAAGTTTTTGTTATTTATGGTTCATTTTATGCTAAAGTATGCATAGCTTAGATCCCCTAGAAAACCAATGCAACATTAGTCCGATCTTTTTGAATACTCCAAAGTTCTAAATATAATAAAGAAAAAATAAATTAAGTGAAACAAATTGATTATAAGTATTTTCAGGTAATAGCAAATAATGCAATGTACTTGTGACAAGGAAAAAAATAAATTGTATAAAACAATTAATTAAAATTTGTGTTCTTATATCTTTTTCCTAGCATGCCTTGAGTTATTGCAGGGTGTCCTAGAACTAATATGAAAAGTCGGGTAAGTACAGTGAGTTCTGCTATAACGCGTGTTTTGACAATGCGAATTGGCTCTAATGCGATTTATGAATAGAGGAACGATATTTGTACTGTATAATGTGAACGCTTGTTTGTTGTAACGCGATTTTTGCTTACTATTTCTCCAATTTTGTGGTATTAACTGTGAATATGGTAAAGAAGAATATCTCCAAGAAGCGTTCTGGTGATTGCATTCCCGGTGATGATTGTAAAAGAAAGGCTATAACCCTTGAAGAGAAGCTCGATGTAATCTGCACCTAACCCTATTTTCTCCATAAGCCCTGTTATTTCTATTACGCAAATTTCTATAACATGATGTTTTACAAGAACACAACTATCGCGTTATAGCAGAACTGACTGTATACAGTACAGTGGGGTATGCTATAACGAATCTAATTGGTTCTAGAACCTTGTTCGTTATAGCATTCGTTCGTTATAGGATTAATCCGTTCCAGGCCCCCAAATACAACCACTTAACACTGAAAAATATAATATAAAATTGTAAAAATTGTAAAAAAGTGCATAAATATGCATCTAAACCCCTGAAATAAAGAATATCATTAATATTTGTAATAAATAAACAATAAATTAGAAAAAAAAAATTTAAATAATGTTCGTTGTAGGAGTTTCGTTCGTTATAGCATTCTCAATTTTATAGGTAAAACCGTTCGTTATAGGAATATTCGTAGTAGGATCCATTCGTTATGGCATACCCCACTGGGATCATATGAAGATCTTCCCCCCCAAAGTATCCAACTGAAGATCCTCCCCCCCAGGCTAGATCATATGAAGATCCAACCCCCCCAAGTAGGTTTGGGGGGGAGGTTAGGTTAGATTTGGTTAGGTTAGGTTTGGTTAGGTTAGGTTAGGTTTGGTTTGGTTAGGTTAGGTTTGGTTAGGTTAGGTTTGGTTAGGTTTGGTTAGGTTAGGTTAGGTTTGGTTAGGTTTGGTTAGGTTTGGTTAGGTTAGGTTTAGTTAGGTTAGGTTAGGTTAGGTTAGGTTAGGTTTGGTTAGGTTAGGTTTGGTTAGGTTAGGTTAGGTTAGGTTAGGTTAGGTTAGGTTTGGTTAGGTTAGGTTAGGTTAGGTTAGGTTTGGTTAGGTTAGGTTTGGTTAGGTTAGGTTAGGGGGGGTGGATCTTCAGATGAGTGCGACTTGGCTTGATCATATGAAGATCCTCCCCTCCAGGCTAGATCATATGAAGATCCTCCCCCCCAAGTAGGTTTGGGGGGGAGGATCTTCATATGATCCATATTGCGAAGTAGATTATCATAGAAAACGGGAAATTTGTATCATAAAAAATGGGAAATATCTACTTTCCGGGAAAGTTGGTTATCTACTTTCCCGAAAAGTAGATAGATTTTCTACTTTTCAGGAAAGTAGATTATCGACTTTTCGGGGAAGTAGATTTTCGAATTATGGGGGAAATATTACCTAATTTTGCGAAGTAGATTATCATAGAAAACGGGAAATTTGTATCATAAAAAATGGGAAATATCTACTTTCCGGGAAAGTTGGTTATCTACTTTCCCGAAAAGTAGACAGAATTTCTACTTATCGGGAAATTAGATTATCGACTTTTCGGGGAAGTAGATTTTCGAATTTTGGGGGAAATATTACCTAATTTTGCGAAGTAGATTATCATAGAAAACGGGAAATTTGTATCATAAAAATGGGAAATATCTACTTTCCGGGAAAGTTGGTTATCTACGTTCCCGAAAAGTAGATAGATTTTCTACTTTTCGGGAAAATAGATTATCGACTTTTCGTGGAAGTAGATTTTCGAATTTTCGGGGAAATATTACCTAATTTTGCGAAGTAGATTATCATAGAAAACGGGAAATTTGTATCATAAAAAATGGGAAATATCTACTTTCCGGAAAGTTGGTTATCTACTTTCCCGAAAAGTAGATAGATTTTCTACTTTTCGGGAAAGTAGATTATCGACTTTTCGGGGAAGTAGATTTTCGAATTTTGGGGGAAATATTACATAATTTTGCGAAGTAGATTATCATAGAAAATGGGAAATTTGTATCATAAAAAATGGGAAATATCTACTTTCCGGGAAAGTTGGTTATCTACTTTCCCGGAAAGTATATAGATTTTCTACTTTTCGGGAAAGTAGATTATCGACTTTTCGGGGAGGTAGATTTTCGAATTTTGGGGGAAATATTACCTAATTTTGCGAAGTAGATTATCATAGAAAACGGGAAATTTGTATCATAAAAAATGGAAATATCTACTTTCCGGGAAAGTTGATTATCTACTTTCGAAAAACTCATCTACTTTCGGGAAAGTAGATTGTAAACTTCGGGGAAGTAGATTTTTTCCCGAATTTTGGAAATAATGCCTAATTTTGCAGTAGATTATCTTGACAGGAAATTTGTATCATAGAAAACGGGAAATATCTACTTTCCGGGAAGAGATGATTATCTACTTTCGAAAAAATCAAATATTACCTACTTGCAGGGAAAGTAGATTGTCTGACTTTTCAGAGAAGTAGATTTTTGAGCCCAAATATTACATAATTTGCGAAGTAGATTATCATAGAAAATGGAAATTTGTATCATAAAATGGGAAATATCTACTTTCCAGGAAAGTTAGTTATCTACTCGGAAAGTAGATAGATTTTCTACTTTTAGGGAAAGTAGATTATCGACTTTTCGGGGAAGTAGATTTTCGAATTTTGGTGGAAATATTACCTAATTTTGCGAAGTAGATTATCATAGAAAACGGGAAATTTGTATCATAAAAATGGGAAATATCTACTTTCCGGGAAAGTTAGTTATCTACTTTCCCGAAAAGTAGATAGATTTTCTACTTTTCGGGAAAGTAGATTATCGACTTTTCGGGGAAGTAGATTTTCGAATTTTGGGGGAAATATTACCTAATTTTGCGAAGTAGATTATCATAGAAAACGGGAAATTTGTATCATAAAAAATGGGAAATATCTACTTTCGGGGAAAGTTGGTTATCTACTTTCCCGAAAAGTAGATAGATTTTCTACTTTTCGGAAAAGTAGATTATCGACTTTTCGGGGAAGTAGATTTTCGAATTTTGGGGGAAATATTACCTAATTTAGAGAAGTAGATTATCATAGAAAACGGGAAATTTGTATCATAAAAAACGGGAAAAATCAACTTTCCGGGAAAGTTGGTTATCCACTTTCCTGAAAAGTAGACAGATTTTCTACTTTTCGGGAAAGTAGATTATCGACTTTTCGGGGAAGTAGATTTTCGAATTTGGGGGGAAATATTACGTAATGTTGCGACGTAGATTATCATAGAAAACAGGAAATTTGTATCATAAAAAATGGGAAATATCTACTTTCCGGGAAAGTTGGTTATCTACTTTCCTGAAAAGTAGACAGATTTTCTACTTTTCGGGAAAGTAGATTATCGACTTTTCAGGAAGTAGATTTTCGAATTTTGGGGGAAATATTACCTAATTTTGCGAAGTAGATTATCATAGAAAACGGGAAATTTGTATCATAAAAACTGGGAAATATCTACTTTCCGGGAAAGTTGGTTATCTACTTTCCCGGAAAGTAGATAGATTTTCTACTTTTCGGGAAAGTAGATTATCGACTTTTCGGGGAAGTAGATTTTCGAATTTTGGGGGAAATATTACCTAATTTTGCGAAGTAGATTATCATAGAAAACGGGAAATTTGTATCATAAAAATGGGAAATATCTACTTTCCGGGAAAGTTGGTGATCTACTTTCCCAAAAAGTAGATACATTTTCTACTTTTCCGGAAAGTAGATTATCGACTTTTCGAGGAAGTAGATTATCGATTTTTGCGGGAAATATTACCTAATTTTGCGAAGTAGATTATCATAGAAAACGGGAAATTTGTATCATAAAAAATGGGAAATATCTACTTTCCGGGAAAGTTGGTTATCTACTTTCCCGAAAAGTAGATAGATTTTCTACTTTTCGGGAAAGTAGATTATCGACTTTTTGGGGAAGTAGATTTTCGAATTTTGGAGGAAATATTACCTAATTCTGCGAAGTAGATAATCATAGAAAACGGGAAATTTGTATCATAAAAAATGGGAAATATCTACTTTCCGGGAAAGTTGGTTATCTACTTTCCCGAAAAGTAGATAGATTTTCTACTTTTCGGGAAAGTAGATTATCCACTTTTCGGGGAAGTAGATTTTCGAATTTTGGGGGAAATATTACCTAATTTTGCGAAGTAGATAATCATAGAAAACGGGAAATTTGTATCATAAAAAATGGGAAATATCTACTTTCCGGGAAAGTTGGTTATCTGCTTTCCCGAAAAGTAGATAGATTTTCTACTTTTCGGGAAAGTAGATTATCGACTTTTCGGGGAAGTAGATTTTCGAATTTTGGGGGAAATATTAGGCTACCTAATTTTGCGAAGTAGATTATCATAAAAAACGGGAAATTTGTATCATAAAAAATGGGAAATATCTACTTTCCGGGAAAGTTGGTTATCTACTTTCCCGAAAAGTAGATAGATTTTCTACTTTCGGGAAAGTAGATTATCGATTTTTCGGGGGAATAGATTTTCGAATTTTGGGGGAAATATTGCCTAATTTTGCGAAGTAGATTATCATAGAAAACGGGAAATTTGTATCATAAAAATGGGAAATATCTACTTTCCCGCGCGGAAGATTTGGTTATCTACTTTCCCGAAAATGACTCCGTTACTACTTTCAGGAAAGTGAATTATCGACTTTTGCCGAAATGAATTTTCAATTTACAGAAATATTACCTAATTTTGCGCAGTAGATTATCATAGAAAACGGGAAATTTGTATCATAAAAAATGGGAAATATCTACTTTCCGGGAAAGTTGGTTATCTCTAGATTATCCACTTTTCAAGGGGAAGTAGATTTTCAGCGAATTTTGGGGGAAATAATTACCTAA